AACGCCTTCATACCTGTGTTATGCAATGTTTGTCAATCTTCGAGAGAGGATAAGTAGGCACATAGTATCTTAGCGGTCATTCTCTGTTGACCCTTACAGCAATACTATTGCGGAGATTATACCACACGCGAACACAAACTCATACATGCAAGTGATTGTGTGAACCAAACGAAAAAGGAGATAACTGTTTATATGCAAGCGTCCATATGAATCAAATCACACACTCGCGTACAAGCATAGCATTTTCCGATAGGTTTGTGCTACTCGCCACATGCTGCATGTCACCAACGTTGACAGCGACTATGGGCTTGCAATAGATGTTATGGCAAATAGCTCCATTTTGTGAATGTTCAGCCGAGATAAAGTAGTAAGCAATTGAAACGCGAAGTATGTATACTCTATTCACATGGTTCGACTACTAGAGATGAGAGGGACTATATCAGACAGACATAGCAAAGAAGCTGAAATATGTATAGGCCTATAGGGGCGATGTACGGCACTTTCTTGAGTTCCCTCTCTTGTGGACTTCTCTGTTCCGCCGAATTCAAGAATTCTTTGTCAGATTTATTTATTTATTTGCACAGCAGGTGTGAGTAAAGTTGGCACAGTGAAGGTGAGTATAATGATAGTAAGTTATCCGCAGCATAAAATCGATTTATTTAGAAGACCGACTTTAAAAACTAAGTTGTGCTTGGATCTATGATGAGAGCAAGGTGACGGGAACGATTGAACCGAAGACTCCCGAGAGTCGCGGAACATGTGTGACTATCACAACTCACACGCTTGAAGTCTGCTTGGCTCTTCAACTTCTGACCTTCTAAAGTCTGAAGTCGGTCGAAGGTTGAAGATGAATGGCATTTCTACAATTTATTCTTGTGGCCTTCAGATTAAGCCTTGATATATTAATTTTATATTATTGGTCGTCCCTGTATAATCGGTGAGCCCGGTCAATCGAATTGATGGGCCTTTTAAAATGGCTATTTTCCTCATTGTTGTCCCATATTGTATTTGTTGTTTTTTATTGTTTTGTCCTCTAGAAGTAGTAGGTATAGAAAGCCTGCCTATTAAAATAACAACCGTTCCCCAAAGATCTATACAACACTTCGATCGCTAAAATTTTAATGAAAACAATAGTATTTACTCAGGAATGGTAAGATACGGACAGTTGGCATATTTACGTTTTCAATACTTTTGAGACATCCCTTATTATATTTATAAAAATTAAAAACTTGAAATGAGTAAGATGAATGTTAAATGTTTATGTATGTATTAAATTATTCACAGGGATTTAGATCTCTACGGCCGGTACAAATTCCCGAGCATAAGAGCGAGTGAATACGTTTATGATGTTTTATATGAATAACCTCCCAGTCCCAAACTCTCCCTCGGTATCATATCTTTAAAAGACACAATCGAACGATATATTTAAAAATAACTTTTATCAGAATAAATCACTCCAAAAAGACAGTCGGAGAATTGTATTATTTAATCTCAGTTTTCCACATTAGTTCTACTAAACTCAGGCTACTCAGCTGCTATTTTTTTATTTTTTTTATGCCCACACTCACAGGACAGCCACACAGTCACTGGGCTGCAACTGGTGACAGGCGGGTCGCCGACGTAATATAAAAAAGTGTCCGCGGATGTCAGTTGAAATTATTTATAACCGACCGGAGCAAGAATCGCGAATCTATATGTAATAAATATCAGAGTATCTCCCGCCCATAGGCCAAAGTATTCCTCTTTGTAGTTAGATCGCAGACCAACCCGCGCGCCTCGTATACACTGTATATACTATATACATACGGTTCGCCGCCCAAGACTTCCCATTGTACTTGTACTAGAAACATATACGCGATATATATATTAACAGTATCAGAGCTAACACGCACGCGATGGCAAGATTGCACAGTGGTATAAGTCACCCCAACTGAAACGGTGTATAGCGAGGTACTATCATAGGGACATACAGCCATATACAGTTATTAGGAGGAGCAATACTTGCGAAACCCGAACGCAAAACGTCTATCCGCATTGTACAACTCACACCATAGGCAGCCAAGGTTACGAACCGCGTCAGTCTTAATCTCGTTTGATCTACAGTTGAGAACGTCGAGCGAAGCATCATTGAAGGTATCTCTGTGCGTTGCCTCCCGTATAAAATACTTAAAAGAATCGTCGCAAGCACATGCACGCGAACGGTACGCGAACGAATATGTATGGAACGGGAGTTGTGTTCAACACTTGAAACCCAATTTGCTTCAAAATTTGAATACAGAATTGCGTTGTACTATAGCGGTTTTCGCTTTTGTATTTTTATTTGGAATTTTGTGTCGAGGATGAAGGTTTACCTCGTGTTGGGCGTAGGCTCGAAAGCAAAATATTAAGAACTAGTACTTAATATAATGGAGTTCGAACTGCTTGTTTTCCTAAGAAGCTCTTTAACAATATATACTTCGTGAATTTAGGCAAATTAATGCAGGCGGTAAAATAGCTTCACAGCTAAAGACGCTTAAAATACATAAATTTTGGTAAAATCAGCTGCACTCTGCTAGCATGTGTATACATATTGAATATGCATACGAATGA